CTTTGAAACTCTCATCACGCGCTGCCATCAATACAAAGGCGGAATCCCGATGGCCCAGACAACACACACCAACAAACAACAATTGAACAATTGAGCAGCCCAGACAAAACACACCAAAACGGACAATTGGGCAGTCTTAGACAAAACACGCCAACATAACACAATTGAGCGATGAGGGCTGGAGGCCGACGGCAGCGTTTCCACAGGCCATCAACAGAGCGCACGCCTCCCCATGTGGCACGAATCGCCAGGGCAGGCACCGTGCCAGCTAGTGACAGGCCCCGGGAGAGCCGCAGCAGCCCAGCAGCCCAACGCAGCTCCTGCCAGGCGCGCGCCGGCCCGAGCGGCGGCTCCTGCTGCCCATGCCGCGGCAAGATGCAGAGCCGCGGCGTCGGCATGGCAACGCCCAGGCACCGCGAGGTGCGGGGCCGCGTCGTCGCCGGCGGCCCCCACCGCGATCGCTGCAGGCAAAATAGCAGCCTGGTGCGGCGTCGCCGGCGGCAAAACCCGCATGCACAGCGAGGTGCGGTGCCCCGGCGTGACCCTCGGCCCACCCCGCGGCCGCGCAACTATAGCAGCCGCGGTGGCGGGCGCGCCAAACCCCGCAGGCACGGCGATGCTCGGAACCGCGGCAACTTCCGCGGCGCGGCATCGTGAGGAGCCGCGGCAGCGATGCACGGGGCCACGGCGACACCCGCAGCGTACCCCGCCAGCGCGGCGATGGCCGGAACCACGGCGGCACCCTCGGCAACTCCCGTGGTGCGGCGAGGTGTGGAGCCCCGGACGTACCTGGGGCTCCCCCGGCGGGCGCAGCATGGTGCGGAGCTGTGGCATCGCCGCTGGCAGACCCCGCGCGCGCGGTGTGGCACGAAGTCGCGGCGGCACCCACGGTGGACAACGGCGTCGCAGTTGCCATGGCAGCCATGGCGCCGACGTGCGGCGTCGCATGAACAATGGCCGTCACCTGCAGCGTCGCAGTTAAAATGGCGGCCGCCTGAGGCGCCCCAACCAACATGGCCGCCGCTGGCGACGTCGCAGGCAAAATAGCCAGCTGGGGCGTCGCGGCGAAGATGGCGGCCGCCTCTCGCGGCGTCCCGGCAGTTGACAGTTGCTCCCATCCCGAGTGCGGACCGGGAGGACCCAACTTCGCCTCCGCGATGTCGAGACGGGCGCAGAGCTGCGCGATCGCCTGCAGGAGCTGCCTCAGCAGGTCTGCAGGGGTGCTCCCCGTCTCCAGCGGTGGTGGCGGCGAGCTGGCACCCCCGCCCGTCGTCTTCTCGGGGCCTGTCACCGGAGCCCCGGACTCCGGGGTCACTGCCGAAGCCTCCTCCCCGCCGTCTTCATCCTCCGATCGTCCCGTCGCTGGGTTCTTGCGCTCCGCTCCCGATGTAAACATTGTAGCAGCAGTGCAGACACTCTGACACCAGTTGTAGAGAAGTTCCGACGGACGTACTCGGAGACGGAGGTATGGTTAGGGGCTTCCGCCAGGGTTTATTACTCTTGGTCAATACTACACAGGGTGCACAACTCCCAGGGGCTAGGGGTCCTACTCTGAGTCTGGGTCCCTGCCGGCTAGCTCCGGTCTCTCTCTCTCGTGTCGGATCGTGGAGTCTGCCGACTCCACCGACCGGAGAGAGAAGCACCTCTTCGGCTACCACCGGCTTCTCCCCAGACTCCCTATTTGATCCCTCTCACTATCCCTGGTTCCCTCTTCACCCTGTTTACTTCCCCCGTTCCTATAGTGACCCCGCTTACGTTACGGGGTCTCCCTTATATACCCTCGGAGGGGTGATGTCACGTGCACTGCCCAGCGCGTGCGACCCCACGTCCCGTGAGGTCACCGCACCGGACAGCGCACACGACGCCACCACTCTCCACTACTCCTCTACACTTATATGGACCTTTCAAATAGCAGTTTGGGAGTCTGGACAAAAAGATTATTTACTCCGCTGCGGGTCTCCTTTCACCGCTCTCCCATTGACATGTTTCGTTGCTTCTACATACTATTAACATTCCCTCCCTTTGTTAATGCTACCCCCTACCCCCTCCCTTTGATGCTGCTAATCCTGCATAATGCATGGGCATAATATGACTTTGAAACCCCCCCGCCCACCTCCTACGCATTTCCCATAAATATGCTAAATTCCTCTTGATATGCAAATTCTTTTGTCAAGGCGCTCTTCTTTCCTCTCCAACCCAGCTTAAATATACGCTCCAAGCTTGGTGGTGTTTCATTCTTCACCTGAGGACGGCTGCTTGCATTGTAGCCAAAACGTCGTGAGAATTATTTTATTATGTTTTATTTGTATTATTTTATTATTTTCCTTCTACGTGACTTTACTGAAAGAACAAAGAAGAAGCAATATAAACTATTCCTCAAAGACACTGATGTACCTGCGGTGGACACTCTTCTCACCAAAAGAGACAATTAAGGGCTCTAATCCATTCATTCCACCTCCATCACACAGCTCCCTCCTTCATGAACCACTCTCTCATCCCGTCCCTCCTCAAACGTGCCCTCATAACCCCACGATCCCATTTTCCATTCCCTCCCCTCATCCCTGGCACCTCTTTCCCAGCCACCAAACTAATATCGTCATGTCTCAGACCATGTCTCCTCATCTCCTGCCACGCTTTATTCATATTGCGGGGTTACTCCTGGTTAACTCGGTGCAGGAAATGCCGTCAGGGAATGCTGATATTGTGGGGACCACTATGGAGGACCATTACATAACCCCTCCCCCACCCAGGCGAGAAAACCTATCCTCGGGTGTTGTCAAGACACAGTACAACCCCAATATGATAATGTCCCTTTCCCGGCCATAAGCATAATTGGAACCCATTGATAATTAACAATCAACTGCAACATAACCATCAGAACATCAACAGGCCACTGTGCACATCTCTTTCAAAAATGGAAAACTAAACACTTGCCTTCAGTGCGACTTTGGCCATGCAACCCAAACTATGGATGATAGAGTAAAAAAATATGCGAATCACTCCTAACGGCCTCTCGTGGCTAGCAGACCTCGATATTTAGCTCCTGAACATCCTGTATTGCCATATGCCAGAATAAATTAGGATTTGAATTCACAGCCTTCTCATAGTTAATTAGGTGATCCAACTACAACGTCCTAGCCTGAATACGTAAAACGGTAAGAATTTTATGATTGGAGTCCCTTTGTCAAATGTATAACTCAAAGACGGCCTCCACAATCCGTGTCTGTCATTGACGTTTTGGCCATTCGTGACCGTGCTGGTGTGTGAGGGTTGGTGAAGTGGGGGGGGGGGGCAACAATGGTTAAAATATCACTCGCCACTAAAGTTAGCTGTAGCTGGAAATAAAACTCAGATATATGGGTTTATAATGCAGTGCACTAACGACTGTGCTATCACTACATGCCAAGATGTTAAAGATGTCCAGTGTTGCCCTATTAAAAGTAGTTGCAATGTTTTAAAGTATCCATTCAGGCCAACTAAGCTGAGGCTCAGACCCATTTGTTCAAGTGCTTTTCAACTCCTACAAAAAATAGTCGAGGAGTGTAGCAATCAATAGTGCATTCTTAAAAACTAAACTTACAACTGTATTCCTGAACGCTGAGGACACATCAAAAAGGTATAATATGACGCTATAGAAATACTACAATACTGAAGAGGTGTTTACAAAAACAAGCAGTGTACGACGCATGTGTCTTGCAGTCTTGCCTCTGATCTGGCTGGAACCAGTCAATACCAGTGGAGAGCATTGGACGATTCAGGCATGCTTCTGCATTGTGAACTGAGAGAACTAGTGTGACACTTCTTGTGTGCAGGTTTCGAGTTGGAGTTTGAGAAGACTGTACATGAATCTACCTGGAAGAAGAATCCACGTCCATCATTGTGTTTACACCAACACTACTGGCACACTATCTTTAAAATAATAAATGTGCAACCGCCGACCTGGACATAGGTTCTCCAATTCGGAAAGTGCTACATCAACATCAGGCAAAATTATCTTTAAAACGTTAATCTGAAACAATATTGATGGGGTTTTTTAATCTGAAGAATATGTAATGTTGTTGAGATGGGAATCATAACTCTACTGTTCCTTATTTATTGTGTATTTTTTTATTCTATTACTATATATTCAGATTCAATAAATAGATTATCTGCCCTGGCTAAGCGTGGTTGGTATATACCTATATGGGCTCTGGTGCAAGGAATTCAAAGGCGTCCTTGTCCACTTTGTCCCCTGGGTCCCTGATGCAGTTGCACTGCCAGCACGCCCGATTGCTATGAAACTGGTCTTGTCTGCATCACCCACGGTCACGATCTTGAGATAAGGGCTTGTTTACAGGTTGTGATTTTAGCAGTCAAGTGCTTTTCCCTTCTGACAGACATGCGCAGTTGATTACATAAATACCTTAGAAGGCTAAAAGTGCATTTTGGTATCGTGAATGCATGCGCATGATTATAATCAATGGCAAGAATATGCCGGCTGCCTGCACTCATATCTTAATAATGTAGTTGTAATATTGAGACAAAATTACTCACAGGGTCTTGAATGTCCACTTTACAAGAGAAACCAAATTTTGGCAATTCCCCAACAAATGTTGGGGCCGCTGGCCCCCGCGGTCCCTCTTTGCTGCTCGCCGAAGGCAGGGGTTCCGTCGTTTCCTGACCCCTCGCTGGTCTGCGACCAGCTGCTGCCGTCGCTGGGCTCATCGCCCGACGGTTCCCTTCCCTGGTCCGCCCCTTCGCGAGCTCGCATGAGAGGCATAGCTCGTCGCCCGCTCTCGTTCACCTGTAAACGCTGCGTTGTCTCTCCTTCAAGCACACGCTCTGAACGGGGTCAGGGGTTGGAGGGCGAACGACGCTGTCCTCACACCGCGTGAGTCCCTGCGGCGATAGACAGAGCGGGTACCTGCGGACGCACCGACCCCCCCCCCCCCACGCTACGAGTGCACACACTCACGATTAGGTGCCCACAGCGTTCCGCTGATCCCGTCCTCACTGCGTACCTCGATGCGTCGCACGGACGTCCGAGTCGCTGGGCTGGAGAGCGTCTCGGGGCCTGATTCCGGAGCAAGAGAACCTCCACCTCGCTACATCCGCTTTTTATGCTATCTCCCCATCCCCAGGGCCCCGCCTCCCCAGCCCTCTTCGCTCTTGCGCCCCTTACGCGCGGCGCGCATTCTAAATTAGTCCCATTCTCATGCTCCTCCATAACAATGCGTATGCGCGGCGCTTATTCTAATTATGCTCCTCCATAACAATGCTTATGCGCGGCGCTTATTCTAATTATGCTCCTCCATCACAATGCTTATGTGCGGCGCTTATTATAATTATGCTCCTCCATAACAATGCTTATGCGCGGCGCGTATTCAAATTAGGTGCAGCCGACGTCCTCCTGGATCCGTCCGATTGAGGCGGGGTGGTCTATCGGGCCCCGAGCCGTGGGTCCCGCGCTTGACGGGCGGTCGACGGGATCCTCGGTGCCACCTGTGAGGGTCTCTGTGGCGCACACTGCACTCTCTCTCGCTGGTGGGGGATCAGTGGCCGCGGCCTCTCGGGGGTCCATTGCCTGCCGGCAGCGTCCCCCCGTGAAACACGGGCAGGCCTCCTCCGGCCTTGTCTCGGCGTACACCGTGGGCCGCCTCGATAAGGCGTCCGCGTTTGCATGCGTCCGGCCAGCCCGATACTCGATTTGCAGGTTGTACTCCTGCAACTGCACAAGCCACCGGGCCATCTGCCCCCGCGGCTCCTTGAATGTAAGAAGAAACTGCAGAGCATAATGGTCAGTGCGTACGCGACATCTCCTGTCGTATAAATACGGCCGGAACTGCTTACATGCGAAAATCACGGCGTAAAACTCTTGGCGGGTCACGCAATAGTTCAGCTCGGCCCCACTCAAGGTCCAGCTGGCGTACGCGATGACTCGTTCTGTCCCATCCTGCACCTGTGACAACACTGGGCCCAGCCCGCTGCTGCAGGCGTCGGTGTCCAAAATAAAATCGCTGGTAAAATCGGGGAAAGCGAGGGTGGGGGCATGGGTGAGGTGGTTTTTGAGAGTGGTGAAGGCCGTCTGGCAGGCCCCCGTCCACTGATAGGGGTGCTTAGGGGAAGTGAGTTGGGTGAGGGGGCGTGCAATCTCGCTGAATCCCTTTACAAATCGACGATAATAGGTGGCAAGCCCCAAAAATGATCTGATCTCCGTCAGATTCCTTGGCGGTGGCCACTCCACTACGGCGTGTACCTTTTCCGGGTCGGTGCGCACGCCTGCCTCGCTGACGCGATGTCCGAGGTACCCCACCTCGCGTTGTGCGATGTAACACTTACGTGGCTTGAGCTTGAGATGAGCCGCTCGCAGTCGCTGGAACACCTCTCGTAACCTGGACCAATGCTCAGACAAAGATCAACTGAACACTATCACATCATCCAGGTAAATCAAGCACTGTTCCCAATGCAAGCCCCGCATCACCAACTCCATCAGCCGCTGGAACGTCGCAGGCGCGTTGGTGAGTCCGAACGGGAGTACTCGAAACTCGAATAGTCCCATTGAGGTGGTGAATGCGGTTTTCGGCTGATCCTCCTCCGCCATCTCCACCTGCCAGTACCCGGACGCGAGATCGAGGGTAGAAAAATATCACGTTCCGGCAAGGCTGTCAAAAGTGTCGTCGATGCGGGGTATGGGGAAGGCGTCGCCGAGCGTGACTGCGTTCAATTTACGGTAATCGACGCAGAACCGGGTTTACCCATCCTTTTTCGTTACTAGTACCACCGGGGCTGACCAGGGGCTCACCGAGGGCTGAATTATGTTATCGCGAAGCATGTCCCCAACCGCCTCTTTGATCTGGGCACGTTCGGGTGCGCCCACTCGGTACGCAGGGAGTTTGATGGGTCGGGCTGCACCGGTGTCAATTTGGTGCTTAACAAGGTCGGTACGACCCACATCCGAGTCGTGTTCACTGAACACGTCGGCATACTCCTGCAGTAACTCGCACAGCCGATCGGCCTCTCCCTTAGGTAAATCCGCCCATGGTACATGTAACGCGTCGAGCAGGGGAACGACCTCGGCTCGGGGAGTCGGGCCGACTCGCCAGGCCAGGTCCTGGTCACCCTCAGGACGACCGGTGTCCTCAGCCCAGAGTGCGAACACCGAGTTGTCAGAGTGGCGTGCGTGCAGGGGGTGTATGGTGGCTATCGGGGTGCGCCGTCACAGCATCGCCGGGGTACTGTGAGGGTTAAACATCCGCATAAACAATCGGTCCCCATCTGCGTTTACCAACGTGGCGGATCCCACGACCCCATACCGTTTTGCCAGCTCCGGGTGAGGAGTTAGCATTACCTCCCCTGATGGTCGGAGCGCGGGGTTGGTGGGGGATGTTGCCACCGGCACCAGCATCTCGGTGAGCGGCCCGATGGTGACTGCCGTCGCCAGGATAGCGGCCACAGGTGTGAAGCGGGGGCGCGTCGGTTCTCGTCCCAGGAACGGAATCCGCTCACCGCTGCTCTCCATGGTGGCGCATCGCTCGCGGGGTTGCACGTTGAATCCCAGCTTTTCTAGGAGGTCGGTACCTGCAATACACTCGTGACACAACACACTCGACACGTAGAACTTCTGGGTGCACATCTGGCTGCCTATGCGGACCTCTAGGGTGGCTCTCCCCAGTAGCCCCATTCCGGCTCCGCTCGCCATGTGCAGCGCGCGGTCCGGGGCCTGCAGGCGGCTCACATCGACCCCGATCATGCTGCAGTGCGCTGCGCTCACGAGCGAGGCCACCGCCCCCGTGTCCAGCAGGATTCGGGTACGCTTTCCATTTACCTTCCTTTCCACCAGCGACGTGGCCCCCGTGATCCCCGCCTCCAGCTCCCGTAGCCAGTAGCCCGGAGTCGCCGTTTCCGTGGGCGTTGTTGCTGGAACCTGTGTGGAGATCACTCGCTCGCCATTATTCTCATCATCGTCTATTTGTATCAGGACCGCGTCGATTGCACCCCTAGATGGTCCACGCTCTAGGGGGCGTTGGAGTTTAACCCCTGCGTCTGCTTCGCCCGGGTGAGTTGAGGGCAGTCTCTCATTAGATGCCCTCGGCGATCGCACATATAACATGTCCGGGGAGGGGGGGGCGGCTCCGTAGCGGGTCCCCTGCCCGCTCCCTCTCCCTCCCCCAGTACGCAGTTGTCCCACATCGTACTCTAATTGGGTTACCCTCCCGGCCAGCCCCCCTACTGTCGAGCATAGTTCCCCCATCTCAAACTGGAGGGTCTTCATATTTTTATTCGCTTCCTCGCGTACTGGGTTACCTTACTGTCCATTTGGTTTACCCGGCCAGCAATTACTCCCATGCTGGTCTGTAACCCGGCTACCCACCCCGGGGTTGTCTCGCTGGGTCTCTGGGGCTCTCTAACCCGTCTCCTTACTGCGCTGGCGGGCTCCTCCTCGTCCTCCTCCTCCTCATCTGGGATCAGGCTCGCCACGGTGTACTCCTGTCCCGACCCTCGGAGCTGCGCGCGTTCGCTGGAGAGCTCCTCACACTCAAGTGCGCGCTCGACCAGGGTATCGAAGGGGAGGCCTGCACTACCCCTTTTGGGCTGCCACCACGCGGTGCGAGCTAGGTACCTGAGCAGCTTGTCTGCAGCTAGCGCGTCAATGACCTCCTTCACGAACTCTGGACGGGCGATCCGGGTTAGTGATCGCACGTCCTCGGCGTAGTCCCGGAAGTCCTCGCCGGGTTGGCATCGGCGTGCCTCTAAGGCCGTCTTTGCCCGTATCGCATTGCGCGTGCCGAAACGCAGGTCTAATCTACGCATTAGTTCCTCTAGTTGGGTTTGCGCGCTTTCGGGTAGTGCCTCTACAAAGTCGGCTGCCCGCCCATCCAGGTTCAATGTAAGTTACACACTCAGATTGGGCGATGCACACACATCGGCTAACACACACACATGGACTAACACACACACACAAACACTTCGACGTACACACACACATCGGGCGTTGTCCGTTCGAAAAAGACAGAGACACACATGGACTTTAACACACGCATGGACATACACGCATACACAGATGGACTCAAACACACACACATCGACTCACACACACACATCGACGTGTACAGCAATCCCCGATGATGGCACAGCTATCAGTATCGCAATACTACGTATGAGTAAATAGCATGACGTAAGCAATCGAAACAATAGAAATGCATTTAAGAAATAAGCAGAAATAAGTGTAAATTAAAGAGCAGCAGTACGCACAGGTAAGTTGAGAAGCATGCTACAGTCTAGATTATAGACTGCCAGTACGCCGACTCAATGACATAGGCATTGCTACAGTCGCAATAAAAAGCTGGAAATGCGGGTAGCAGCTGAAAAAGCAGAATACAGTCGACATGAAAGGCTGGCAGTAGATTGAGTGAGGTAAAAAAGCAGGCAACAGATTATAGACTGGCATACACTCATAATGGTGAAAAGGAAAATTAGCAGTGTAGATAAGAGTGCCAGTGCACTGACGTTATTTAATCAGCAGGCAGCAGGCCACATCACAGACTGGCAATATACCATCGCAGCGTCAAAAATGCACAGCAAAAAAATGGAATATTTATCAATCTAATAATGAATAATCAGTTTTGTGCACACAAACATTATTATTGTAATATGCCATCGTATTTGTTTAATAATAGTCAACAATAATACTATAATAATACTATGTAATAAACGTTGTAATAATATGAATATCTACGGACTGTATAGCAGTAACTGCACGCATCGTGTTGGGTGGGGGCGAAGAGGACATCAGACTGTGAAGAAATAGCCGGAGCGTTATGTGTATATTTATTGCATGTTAAATGCGTAAAATAGAATGTCCCCTGTGAGCTCGACCGAACGCGCATCACTTGGCAGGGTCCGCCCCTGCCCCCCCCCCCGCAATTGGCGTGAGTGCTACAGGCGATGTCGCGCAATAAATAAATATAGCAAAATCCCACTAAATCGGTAATTTAACTTTAAAGGTGATGGACGTGAAAAAGGAATAGCCTATTCCCACCGCGGGGCTTAGGGCGTGCTGGCCGGCAAATTTAT